CCTAAGCCACTCTGATCTGCGATCTAGCCCTGGCTCAGAATGCAGTCAGAGTGGTTGGGTGCATAAGAAGTATACCTACCAGAGGAGAGTTCTGGGGCCAAGAGCAAGAGAGCCCTCTGTAACTGGGTGACAGAGTATCTATCACCTGTGAGGGAAGCCATCGGATCTGTGGGTCTAATGTGACTCTTAGAATGCCCTCCTACAGACATGAGTTATTGATGGGCTAGTAAACATCTTTCCACTGGCCGGTCAGCCTCAGCCCCACCTCTGTCAGGCAGTGGGCTGTTGATGGAACCAGGCCCATGGTCCTCTAAGTCACTTCTCAGGAATCAGGGCTACAGGAAAGTCCATTAGTCAGGGCCAGGTCCATGGCCTACCCGGGGGATGTGAGGGGGTGTCAGCTGCAGGTGAAGGGATGCCCAGCTTTCCCTCCTGGGTGGTACTGGTTAGTCCTCCTGCAGGCCTGCATTTCCTCCTGGGTGGTATTAGTTAGTCCTCCTGCAGGCCTGCATTGCTCAAGCTGGGCTGACAGCTGTCTTCCTTACTTCCTCCTGTTCACACCAGAGCGACGAAGAGGAGACGGGGCACCAAGGCAGTGACTCAGATTAAGTGTAAATGTCACGGTGAGCTCTGAAGCCCTTTAGGTAGATCCAACACCATCGTCTCCTTGCCCCACGACCCTAGTGACTTTTGCCTTGACCCCTCCTTTGTGCTTCTGTATGTTCTGTAGTGGACAGAAACTTGGATAGTTGAGCTTGTGTGTCTGCAGTAGAGCTCCCTGTAGGAGGGACAGGAGACTGTTGCTTTTATGCTGGGTGCTGCTCTGTTATAGTTCCCTCCATGGATGCCGTGTGCAGAATTGAAGCTTTATGTCATATGAGACTGTGGGTGTGGCCACAAGAGTGTTCCTGGGATTGAGCAGTGAGTGCCCACTCAGTCCCACCTACATCCTAGGGTGGCCTTCTTGTCACTCACAGGGCTGTAGCCTCACATAAATTGCTGGGTCTTGATATAACAAATATGAAAGCCATGGGGTTTTATTTTCCTCTCAGGTCCTCATGTTGTGCTTGATCTGCCACCATCTCCCCTAAGGTTGGAGCCTTAGGGTTCCCAGTACCAGAGCAGCCTAAGCTGCACAGTGAACCCTTCCTCAGAACAAAACATGGGCTAGTGGAATGGCTCAGTGGTAAAGTCTCTTGCCTTGCAAGCCTGGTAACCCAACTGTGACTCCCCAGAACCTGTGTAAGGATGAAACTAATTCCTGGAAGTTGCCTGACCTCCACATGCGCGTGCCTACATATACACCAATAACAACAACAAAGTGCTTAAACTTCCTTTTCAAAAGGCAGAAGGGCCAGGTGCGGTGACACACACTTTTAATCCTAGCACTTGGAGGCAGAAGCGAGTAGATCTGTGTGAGTTTCAGGCTGTCCAGGGCTGCACAGTGAGACCCTGTCTATAAATAAACACATTTAAAAGGTGAAAGGAAACATGAAATTTAAGAGATAGGGTGTCGCTCTGCTGCCCAGATAAATTTCTGTTCCCCTATTTACTTCCCAGTGCCGGAAATGGGTATATGGTCTATGTCTCAGCACCTCATATGTAATAGCCCTCTGGAGGAGTTCACAGCCACCAGGGTAGGGGACTTAGTTGTGACCTGCCTCAGGGGTGAGCTGTGACAGGCAGGACTGACAGAAGCTCAAGGGAGCCATCCCTGCCCTTGGGTTCTTGGAGAAGGTCACTGGGAGGTGCTCAGGCTTCAGAGGCTTTGAAAGTCCCCTGGAGGGAGGGGAGGTGACTTTCTGTGGTCTCAGACTTCTTGAGAGTCTCTAGGGAGCATGTTTTGATGGCTCTACCTCTGGAATTCTGGGTTTGTGGGAACAAAACAGTGGTGCCCACAAGGCAAACCTGGAGCAGGCACCAGCTCCCAGAGATCCCAGATGAAGCCACATGCCCCGACCTCCCTGTGAAAGACAGGAGCGTGCATAAAGTAGTCTCACTATCCAAGACAGACAGTGCTGCCTAGCCTCAGTGCATAGGATGATGGTCTTGCTGTTATAGGTCCTGATGGAGCTCAGCCCCTTCAGGATTTCACGCTGTTCTGGACAGTCAGTCCCGCAACCACTTCTGCCAACGACACCCTTACCTACGCTGGCTCTGCTTGGCTCAGGGCTGGTGGTGCTGAGACCTTGGCTCCCCAGTAAGAGGGTGGTGCCTAGAGTCACCTCCAGATATCCTGGAGAATTCAGAAATTGCCTGCCGTGTGGAGCTTGCCATTGTCAGACTAGGGAATAGCACTAACTCATAGACCTGTGAAGCTTCCCGAAGAAGTGCCAGAGTGGCAGTTTTGGCTTCCCACAGCTCTTAGTGAGGCTGGCCTAGGGGCAGGCATGGTGTCTTGGGTGATGGGGATATGCAGGAGCAACCTGAGAATGCAGTCTTCTCTTGAGCCCTTTCTCATAGCCTGCTTGTCCTGCTGCACCAGACCAATAGGGTTGCTCACAGTAACAGAAGCCAAGTGGCTACTGTGAGGTTTCCTCAGCTCTGTAGTTTTCTGTCTGGAGTCATGTCCTATCCCAGCCCTAGAGGTTACTAGAGGCTCACTCATGTGCCCAGCCCCAGCATGTTTTCAAGGACTCCAGGGACTTCCATCCCACCCGGATATGCAGCTGGCCGCAGTATACTAGCTAAGGAGGCTGGGAGTGAGTGCCCTGCTTTTCAGCCAGAGTGGGAGCCAAGGGTGAGGAAGTATGGAGGGCACCACAGCGTGACCTTGCCTGGAAGATTTCCTAAGATCAGGCAGAGGACTGGGACTGTGGGGTGCAGACCTCACTGATAGTGGGGTGGGGGCTGACCTACTGGGCACAAGGGACTCTGGAGTATGTCACCCACCTGCTATTGAAGTCTCCCTGTTACCTAGCTGGGTTCTGGCCTGAGCTGAAGGCTCCTTTGAGCTCTGCTCTCTGAGCAGGTCACTTGGTCAGGGCCTACACCTTCACTCTACCTTTCATACCTTTCAGATTTTGCAAGAACGGGGCTCCAGGATGTGAGCACTGACAGCTGAAGAAAAGATTTTCTTTCCCAAGACAAAGTGAACCGCCATGTGCAGAAAGCATGGCTGTGAGAAGAAACCTGCTTTTGATCATTTCTCTAGAGATCTGGGTGTGGATCCTTTTTTGCCTCAGATGTGGGTGGCGAGAGACAGCCCAGCTGTCAAGCCAGTCATCCCCACAGGGAGGCAGCTAGGGCTGGGCTGGCAGTCTCTGTGGCCTCACTCTGTTCTTTCCGAGTGCTCCGTGGGACTGAGGCAGGATGCTACTGACCAGCCCACGCATTCCTGAAGATGATTTGAAGGACAAGGTCCTTGGTGCTACACACAGTCTGCAACAAGCAGCCTGGGCCTTGCCAGGAGGGAGGGGCAACCACCACAACTCCTGTCCAGTGCACTGTGGCTTAGGGCATGGGCGTCTGCTCAGCGCTGGTTGGGTCAGGGAGGCGGCTATGCCTCCAGGCGTGATTGGTTGATTTCTCTTGACCTCGGTCGAGGCTCCTGACAAAGGCAGCCTCCACATCATCACTACTTCTGGACGCCTCCCCTGGACTACATCCTCTCAGAGCCAGGCTCTTGTAGTGGCCTGTCAGCTTGGCCCAGGATCATCAAGGCTTCTCAATTTGTATTTTCCAGGCAAGAGGACTTTGTATCCCTTTTTTAAAGTGTGGATAGACCACCCGGTGTTTATACTCTTTAGAAATGCCTAAAAGTGTTGCTACATTTTGGATTGATCTGTTAAATCATTTAAGGGAAGTAGATGTTTTGCCTCATGTGCCCCACCTGTGGGCTCATTGGGGAGCTGGCGCCTACCAGTGCCTTTGCTGTGCCTGGGATGGAGGCTGGGGCGGGAGGCCTGTCCACCTGTCTTCTGGAGCTGACACTCCAGGTCATGTTGAACATTCAGGATGTTTACAGCGCAAACATGTCTCCTTCTCACTGGCTCTCATTTCCTCGTATAACTATGCAGTTCTTCTCTTGTATTTCTGGAGTGTTTGAGACTGCACAACCTGCATGGGCTCTGTCCACCTGACATGACATTGGAGCTGCCAAGGTTCCTGCAGAGGCTGCGCCTGCTGGCTTTGAGACAGACCTTTCTTAGCTGGTTAGGGGATGTAGCAGGCCATAAACTTGACCCAAGCAAGCAAGCTCTGTGCTTCTTGACCCCTGGCTTCCCCAGGGAGCTGTGCAAACTGACCACCATGGCTGCCCGTGTGCTGGTCAGAGCCTCTAACACTGTTTCAGATGCTTCCAGAAACTTCTTGCCTAGGCCCTCTTCCTTCTCCTCTGCCAGTAACTGATTAATCGAGTTCTCCAGCATCTAGGACTGACCTCGTCCTTTCCTAAGGTCTGTTGTATGTTGTTAAATGTTTGGCTTAAATGATTCATAAAAACCTTTCTGTTGGGTTGATTGGGCTCAGCAGCCCTGGGGGCAGTGGCTCTGCTGTTGGCCATGGGGACAACTCTGGGGAGCGCTGGACACTTAGCATTGTTTGATTTATGACCTTGACAATAGATAGGCTTGTGGGGGTTTTTGTTTTTTAATTTAATGATATTAAAACTTAATTCACTAAAATTCTAAGGGGATATTTATACTTTTATACTTTTTTAGGTATCCGTATTTTATCAGCTTACCGTTTAATGCCTAAGTTTCCCCTGAAAATAGTAAATAAAATTGTGTATTTATGAATGCGTTCAGCAACTGTTAATGTGTTAAAGTGTGCAGAAGTGCTTCCCTCCAGCAGTGTGTCCTGTGGACCAGAAAGCCACACTCTTCTTCCTAGAAAGCAGCCTCTTTCTGATGCCGCAGGGCGATTGGTATTGAAAAATCCCCAGACTATCTTAATACAAAATATACAGCTTTAATAAACAGAAGTAAGACTTACAACAGCTTACACCAGAATTTAAACGATCTGTCCAGGCGCAGGAGCCAGGCAAGAAAGAGAGCTAGCGGAGTGCGCTTGCTAGGTTTATAGGCAGGCTTTAGCCTGAGGGCGGCACGCCCCAAAAACAGAATGTGATTGACTGAACTCCCCTATCTTTCCGGTTCTCTGAGGGCTTGCTTCCCACGGTCAACAGGGACGTCTCTGATGGCCAGCCACACCCTTGCGTATGTATCCTGTGTCCTAATTGTGCAAGCAACACAGTCAGGTTGGTAGCCCACTGACCCAAGGGCACAGACGGGCTGTCCTGTTGCTCTGGTTGAGATATGGGGCTCCTGTACATTGCTCGGGTAGCCCGGGAACACTGGTGCTCTGAGAGGTCTCTAATGCTGACCTGCCTCATAGCCTAGAACAAGGCACGTCTGCGCAGAAGATTGGAAAGGCAGGGCATCTAGTCTCAGCCTCAGACAGCCTGCCAGCTGTTAGGGTGTCACGAGGGGCCTGGAGGGGCCTGGATCATGGCTTGGGCAGTTCTGATTCCGGGAAACCAGCAGTTGGGACAGGAGAGGCAGAGTAGGAGACATCCTGGAGTGGATCCACAGCTGCTAGACTCTCCTGGGTCTAGTACATGCCTGGGCTTGTGCCAAAGTGCCACTTGGGTCAGGACCACACCTCTGGTTGGCTGGTGCTCATGGGCCCAGGTGGCAGCTGTCTGAATCCATGGGTGGGAACAGCATCACCCAGCAGCACCTTTGGGCAGACCCATGCTTCCTAAGGTAGATCACAGTCATGCTGGGGTTAGTCTCCATGCCTGTGAGCCTTAGGCCAGTACTTCCCAACCATGATGGCCCAGAGCTTGCTCTTGGGGTGTCCTCAGCATCCCCACAATCTGCCCTGCACCCTTGTCTGGACTCTCTAGAGTAGAAGAGTAACCAACCCTTCTCAGACCAGACACTCAAACGTGGTCTAGAGAAGGAACTCAGCAAACAACCCATCATCAGAGCCAGTGGCCAGTGGGGAGTAGAGCCCTAGAGGATTCCTCATGTTTGTTTGGTATATAGCAAGTGCTAAGTGATCCATTCTGTGTTTTATTTTATTTTCTTCTCTGAGACAGGATCTCACAATGTAGCCTTGGCTGGCCTCAAATTCATAGACCTCTCCATACCTCTGCCTCCCGAGTGTTGGGACAAAAGGTACACCTGAGGGTTACCCATTCAGTCCGTTACAGTGCCTGCTCCACCTGAGGCAAGACAGGCTTGCCCGTGTGAGCACGTGGATGGATATGCATATGAATACACACGTGTAGCTGGGTGTGAGGAAAGCTGGTTGGTGTGCCTGGTCCCTTCCACTCCCTACTTCGTTACTAGAGTGGAAAGTTTAAGGTTAAGGGATGGACCAGTAGAAGAGGAGTCTCAGAGATCAAGGAAGAACATGAAGTAAAGGTTGCCCCTGAAAGGGACTCTTGGGTGTTACGAGAATGCACAGGTCCTAGGTGGCCCTTAGATTTGTGTGATGGTGATAGAGAAGTGGGATGGGGGAAGGAGGCTGTGTGCCCATTATGTCCCTCCACTCATCCACATGGTTCCTACTGAAGCACTTGGCATCTTGTGACCTGCTTCCCACCAGTGTCTGTCAACTGTCCACAGTGCAGGAACGGGAAAAGCATTGGTATTCAAGGTGGTGAGCAGTCATGGGGTGGAAACAGGGAAACTGGGTGAGGAACGTTGTAGCCTGGGTGTGCCTGCCAGGGTCTCCTCTAAATCTTCCCAGTTCAGAACTTGTCAGCCCCTAGTGCCGTGCAGGGTTCCCCGGATGGGCCGTGACACTTTTTTTTCTGGAAGTGAGCATAAATAAAAGTAGCTAACAGATGGGGGTGGGGCTATTTACAAATGTCCAGTGGGGAGGGCACCACCTGCCAGTCCTGGGCAGCTCAGAGGATGCTGAGCATAACTACCAGGGTCAGCATGACTGCGTGGGCAGCCAGGCAGGGGGCAGAGTTCCCCAAGTGCTGCCAACCTCGAGGGTCTCTTCGCTGCTGCTGGCTGCTGGCCCTGCCCTGAAACTTCAGTTCTGGAATGATTTGGTGGATCCATTTGTGATGGGAAGTGACACGGATGTAGACACCTGGGCGGTTCCGGCGAGCACAGCCTTCTCCCCAGCTGATCACCCCAGCCTGCACCCATGACTGGTCCACAAGGCACACCAAGGGGCCTCCAGAGTCACCCTGTGGGGAAGCAGAGGGCCATCAGAACCCACCTTGGCCTCACAAAGGTCCTCTCTCCAGCAGGCCCTCCCCTTGCTGTGATGCCCCACCTTGCCTGTCGTGGCATACACCCAGTGTGGTGTATGCTAAAACGCAGCTTTTTGGGGCCTATTTCAGATCCAAGACTCGCTCCTCTCATTTCAGCTACCAGAACCACAGCCTACCCTTTGCCTGGGCTTAGCTCCCTCCAGTGCAGTGGTTCTCAGCCTGTGGGTGGCGACCCCTTTTGGGGTCGAACAACCCTTCCACAGGGGTCGCCTAAAACCGCTCTGCTCTTCAGATATTTATTTACATTACTGTTCATTACTAGCATAATTACAGCTATGAAGGAGTAATGAATTTGTGGTGGGGTCACCACGGCATGAGGAACCATATTAAAGCGGTCGGATGGTTGAGAGCCCCTGCTCCAGTGGCTTGCCCTCCCACCCTACCTTACAGGCGTCCTTCTTGCCCTCTGCAAAGCCGGCACACAGCATGTCATCCTTGATGGTTTTGAGCTGGAAGTCAGACTCCGCATCTCTGCTATACAGCAGGTTGCACCTGGGCGTGTCAATGATGGGCACACCAAGTTTCTGCAGGATCCGTGGGTTGGGCAGTCGGTCTGGGGAGGAAAGGAAACCTGCAGCTCGGGGGACAGTCTTAACCAGGATCCTGAGGTTCTGGGGGTCTCAGGAACCACAGCTGGCTCTATCCCTCCCTGGGTCTCCTCAGAACTTCATGGACTATTTCTTCCCTCATCAGCACCAGCCCTGCTTGTCTCCCCTTCTCACTCCCATGTGCACGCCCGCTCTTCCTACAGGACCTGCTCCATTTAGCCTTGCCCTACCCATGTGAGCAGAGACCGTGTACACCAGCATCAACAGGAAGGCTGTCCTGGCCTTTTCACTGTTTCGTTTTCTTTTTTGAGACAGAGTTTCTCTATGTGACAGCCCTGGCTGTCTTGGAACTCACTCTGTAGACCAGACTGACCTCGAACTCACAGAGATCCCCCTGCCTCTGCCTCCTGAGTGCTGGGATTATGTGTCATGACTGCCCAGCTGTCCTGGCCTTTCTTCAGCCACATCCCCTTTCCTCCCCTGCCTCGGAACCCTCACCTTGTTCACTGGGGCTGCCCCAGCCAGTGACCCAGCACTTCATGCCCGGCTCAAAGACGATGGAGGGATCCGGCAGACACACGGGAAGGATGTATTTGGTGAAAGTCACAGGCACCTGCAGCTCCACCAGAGCCACGTCAGCACTGGAGGCCATGCCTTGGTATTGGGGGTTGCTTTCCACCCGCTTCACACGGACATACAGGGCGTGTGGCCCTGGCTGCTGCAGCTGCAGTGCCCCCAGCAGGACTTGGTATATGGATATGTCTGAAGTGCTGACGGAAAGAGCAGGCTTGTGAATACCCTCCTCCCTGAGGAAAGGGACCTACAGGGGCAGGTTTTTCTGGTCTGCTGCAGTATCTGACACCTCTCTTTGCATTCTCAACCATGTCATCTCCATGTTAAAGACTGTAGAAACCGATGATCACCCATCTTTAATTCCCAGCTCTCCCTGGCTACAGGTGACCTTGGGTAAGCGACCTAACAAGTTCTCTGTCCTCAGTTTCCTCATTCATAAGATGGGAGCACAGACTACCTGAAAAGCCTGTTCTAGTACAGTGAGGCCGAGCCCTGCCTCTGGATCCCCAGGTCGGCCACCTCAGAGCCTGAGTTTCTAAGAGAAGCATGGGATTTTTTGAAATAATTGCAGAGGCTGGCAGGCTCGCTCAGCAGGTGAAAGTGCTTTCCACACAAGCTAAAAGCCTGAGTTCTCTCAGCAAAACCCGTAGTGAAAGGGGAAGCCCGAAAGTCGTCTTCTGACGTCCTGGTGCCCATCATGACGCAAGCGCCCCCAGCACACAGTAATAAAGGAAAAGGGGATTGCAGGTGTATGAGGAAGGAGGTCCTATGTTTGGAGACCCTGTGATTCTAGGGCTGTTTCACACGAATGTGCAAGCTGGGAGTCCTCTTAGGTGATCTTGGATAGGGTGAGGAGGAGGGACAGTCTCTTCCAAATCCTGGGCTTAGCTGATACCCAAGGTCCAGAGAGAGTTCTGGATTTGAGGTCGGGGAACATGGGACAAGGGAGGTGTGTGTCGGGGGTGCCTGTCGCATTTGTAGGGACAGGACCCCAGGTGACACTGGCAGAGCAGCTGGTCGGAGCAAGGGCTGCAGCCGTGGTTGCAGCTTCAAGGCCTAGAGCTGGGCCTAAGGAAAAGTGTCTAATATTATGTGTATGGATGTTTTGCCTGCATGTGTGTCAGTGCACCATGTACAAGCCTGGAGTCTGCTGAAGCCAGAAGAGGATATTTGCTCTCCTGGAACTTGAAGTGTAGACAGTTGTGAGCCACCATGTGGGTGTAAGGAGTTGAACCTTGCTCCTCCGCAAGAATAGTCAGTGCTCTTAACCACTGTGTTTCTCTGCAGGTCCCTGAAGGAAAATTTTGGAAGACTGGGTGTTACTGAACAAGGCTGGGGTGGGGAGATGGGGGTGGGAGGCTGAGGTCAGTGCTCTGTGGTACTGAGCAGTTAGGTGCAGCTTGTCTAGTCCCTACTGCTGGTGAGAAGCCGAAAGGGCTGGGGTCACTTACTTGGAGAAGCAGTGTGCAGCGGTGAGGACCCATGCTGGTGCGATGAGACTGCCCCCACAGAAATGGGTCCCATTGCGCTGGATGCTGACCTGCCAGGGCCACTCGCCTTCCAAGGCGTCCTCCCCACCAACCATCCGGTTGAACATCCTTGGGTGCCCGCAGGCTGGGAGAACATGGAAGCGCTCTCTGAGGGAAGGGCCTGCCATGGCTTCAACACCATCCCCAACCCACGTGCCAGCTCTCACTTTCTGTCAATGTCTAGGCCTTTCTGGCCCCTGAGCCACTCAGAACATTAGTAGATAAGAGGCCCCAGGACAGTTGGCTTTTGATTCAGCCTGACCCTTTCTGGTTCTGCCCTTCCCATGGACCTTGGTCTTCTCATTTATGACAAGGTGACAAGACCTAACTTGGGGTCAGAAAGGTTGAAATGACATGGAAAACTCCCATCCCCAAGCTGATGGGACAGGGATACAGTCATGGTACAGCAGATAAGGTGTCCCCTATCCTGGCACTTCCACCATGTCCTGTGTTGCTGATCATACAGGAGATTTCTTCTTCCACTGCCTTTTGGAAGCTCTGCTCAGCCACTTTGGTCTGGCTTTTCTGCTGTACCTCCATCTCTCCCTCTCTCCTCTCTCCTCCCTCCTCCCTTCCTTCCTCCCTCCCTCCCTCTCTCCCTCTCTCCTTCCTCCTCTCTCTCTCTTCCTCCCTCCCTCCCTCTCCCTCTCTCCCTCCCCCTCTCTCCCCCCTCCTTGTGTGTGTGTGTGTCCAGCCACTCCTCCATCTCAGTTGATCCCACTTACCTCTCAGAGCTCTGACCCCTTCGGTCCCTGGAAGTGGGGAAAAGGGGATCATCAGGCAACTTTGCCAAGCCGGTCTGTTCCTCCCTGCTTCTGCCTTATCAGAGAGTTCCTGGCCTCTGAGGACAGGGAGGACACTATGGCCGAATGGGTTGACCCACTCTCCTTGTCCACACAAGAATCCCTTCTTCCACCCTGCACCCCTGCTCTTGCTTTGCAGTATGGAATGGGAACAGTGCATGGACCTCAAATTCTAGAGCCGTGGGGTCTCCCTCCCCCTCTTCACCCTCTAGTGGCTCAGCTCTGGATGGCAGGAAACTCTGGAGGCCTCTTCCTCATATCAGGCCGCCCTCCTTATAGTCTTTCAGAATGAGTAGGTCTCCTTCAGCTTCTCCCCAAGTCCAACTGAGGTTCAGACACTCATGGCCACTCTCTGCTCTCCAGGGAGTTGAGTTGGATTAGCAAAGATCAGGGGGCAACCTCCCAATACTCTATATTCCCAAGGACTGAGCCCTCTTGCTAACCATGGTCCTCTACTGTACCACCATCAAAGTGAGGGGACAAACATGGAGGAGGATAGGGCAGGTCTGAGGGCTCCAGCACCCACACCTACAGTACTGCTCAGCTTTCCTCCCAATCCCATTGGCTCCATCCAGACTCGGGTTCAAGCCTAGGCAACCCCAGACCTTTAGATTACTCTCCTGTTGCTGCTCCCATGGGCAGGTCTGTCAGACCTGGGTGGGGTCTCAACACAGTCAGGCCCTCCACCTTGATGGCCACATTTTTTCTAAGCTCCAACAACTGAGCCCAGAGAAAATGATGAAAAGGAAACCCACTTTACGATGCTAAATGTCACAGGGACAGCAAATGGCCAGGCTGAGCCACGCATGGCCAGCAGTGCCCAGAGCCCTTAAGGATGTCACAGGACTCTTCCTTATGTAGCTCCCAGTTGTGCAAATCTCAGTGCTACTGGGGGACAAAATCCAGAATGTGGCCTTGACAATGGGGAAGGGTGCAGCTGTCTGTTGGCTGTGTGTGTGTGTGGTTAGCTTGGTAGAAGCTGGAATCACCTGGAAACAGTCTCAAAGGATTATCTACTTGGGCTGGCATGTGAATACATCGGTGGGGAATTGTCTTAATTAAGTTAATTAATGTGTGAAGCCCCAGCTCATGGTGGGTGGCACCATTCCCTAGGCACAGGGGTAGGTTAGTCCTGAACTGATTAAGAGTGAAGAAACTAAGCTAAATATAAGGAGTATGCATCCATTCATTTCTCCCACTCTTGACTCTGGATGTGATCAGCTGTTTCAAGTTCCTGTTGCCCTGAAATGATGGATTATCACCTGCAGTAGTGAGCTAAAATAAGCTCTGTCTCCCCTGAGCTAATTTTTTCTTGATATTTTATCACAGTGCCAGAAATGTAACCAGAACAGAGGGGGACTGGAGGTAGTTACTGTTCATTACAGGACCAGGTTCTTCTCAAAGCAGGACATCAAGCAGAGAGGAAATGCTCACAGGAAACGGACTGTGCTCGGGACTTCTGGCTTGCGAGCTGTTTTCACAGGGTGCAAATGCATAAGGTGTAGTGGCTCATAGCTGTTATCCCAGCATGCCCCACTCAAGAGGCTGAGGCAGGAGGATTGCATGGAGTCTAAGGTCAGACTGATCTGTACAGTGATAATCTGGTCAGTTGAGGCTATCTGTGTTGTCTCAAATAAAATGGTTCAGCGGCTGAGAGCACTTGGTGTTCTTGCGGAGGACCTGGGTTCAGTTCCCAGCCTGAATGTGGTAACTCACAGCTGCCTGTAATTCCAGTTCCAGTGAATTCAACACATTTTTCTGCCCCCCTCTGGGCATTATGTGCACATGCATACATGCAAATAAAACATTCACACAAGTAAAATAAAAATATATTAAATAAAAAATAAACAAAGGGCTGGAGAGATGTCTCATTGGATAAGAACATTTGTTGCTTTTATAGAGGATTCCAGTTCAGTTCCCAGCAATCAGGGGATCCAACAACCCCTTCTGGTCTCCAAAGATAACTGCCTACACTTACACACACACACACACACACACACACACACACACAGAGAGAGAGAGACAGACAGAGAGACAACATGATACATAAAATAAAATAAAGCCAGGCGGTGGTGGCGCACACCTTTAATCCCAGCACTTAAGAGGCAGTGGCAGGCAGATCTCTGTGAGTTTGAGGCCAACCTGGTCTACAGAGAGTTCTACACAGAGAAACCTTGCCTTGAAAACCAAAATAAATAAATAAAAAATAAAATGCAAATGTGACCAGAGACACCCCACACACACACACGCTCACTTGTTAGAACTCTGCTGGACCTGCTCTCCAGGCCTGGAGAGTCCGCTTGCAATGCTGCCTCGCCTCGCTGCCCTCTGTCCTCAAGGACACACACACTGCAAACCTCTCCTGTCTCATCCCGCAAGGAGCTCACGAGAACCTTCTGTGCATTTGCCCTCCTGCCAATCTCCTGACCTGTAACCCACTGTCTCTGCCGCAGCTTAGTCCTTGCAGGCTGAGGCTCCCCGTCTCCGCAGTCCTAGTGTAGACTGAGGTTCACTCAAGGGTCGACTCCAGCGGAAGCTGCCCCCACTTGTATTGTGTGTCTTGGAACCCCCACTGCCCCTCTGAACTCTCTGTCCTTTACCAGGGCATCTGATCGCACCCAGAGCCCAGGCCCTGGAGATCTATGGAGGCAGAACTTTCCTCTAGGTACCCAAGCACAGAAACTGTGTCGGGATAGAGAAACATCCTATCAGTGGTATCCAGGATGTTAGTCTATGCCCACCTGGGCTCCAGGTCCCTGAAACTGATACGAGCGACTAAGGTCTAAGAGGCAGGACCAGTCAGAAGACTATCCGGGTGCTGGTCACCCTGGGCAGACGTGAGCAAGTCACTCAGGGGTCCAGCCTCCGTTGCAGCTGTTTGTGAGCCAAAGGCAGACTGCCGTTTCTCCTTCGGCAATGACCTCGATTGATCCACCCACGGGAGCTGCTAACATGTCACACCCAGTAGAAATGGGTTTTCAATGCCATTGTCCTTGCTGCTAGAGACCACGGACAGAAACGTTTTATGACATTGGGGAGGTAGGGCATCACTGCAGAGATGCCCACCAATGTCCTCTTCTCTCTTGAACCCTGGCTGAAGTATGATTTGAGCTGACTTGGTCTGTCCCAGGGAGGTGAGCTGAGGACAGGGAAGTGTGAAGGCTGCTAGGCTGGCCCATCTGGCCTAGGAATGTGGGAGAGTTTCCCTGGTAGAGAGGAGCCCGGCCCACAGGGAAGGACCTGCCAGGCGGAGCACCTGGCTAGAACTTGCTGACCCCTGCTCAGGATGGGTAGGGCACTGCTTTTGCCTCTCTAGGCTGGGCCCCTCTGCAGCCTGCAGCCCTTGTCCCCAGCTCTCTGCTGAGCCTCAGACTCTGAAGGCTCCCTGGCTCAGATGGCAACCCCAGTTCACATAAGCCCTGGGACGTGAAAGCCTGCAGGTTTGGGCTCAAATCCTAGAGGCACGGGAGGCTTTGTCTCTCCCTCTGTAGAACGGGAAGATAGGCCTCTAGAGGAGTCCCCAAATCAGAGCATGGTACACCAAGAGCCCCAGGAAGATGAGGGTGTGGTTCTATCCAAGCCACTACCTTGGGGGGTCCTTAAGAGTCCCTGAGGGGCCATGGTCACATGCTCTGTCACGCCTTCCCACAGGTCCCCCAGGTGGAATATCTGGAACCGGGGTAAATTCTCTGGGAAGCCCAGATGAGGAGATTTCTTTTAGACTCAGGCAGGCCCAGGATTGGGGGGGGGGAGGCAGTTGGTGCTCAGAGCAGCACATAGGGGCCACTCCAGAGCTGTGGCTGGGGGACTGCCTGCCCTTGGATGCAACTCACCAGATCTCAGCAGCAGCAGCAGCAGCAGGGCAGGGATGTGGGGCTGCCTCATGTTCTCTGGCTCGGTGGTTGGTAGAGCCCTGGTCAGCGGTGGCAGGAGCTCTCCCTAGTGCTACGGAGGTGCAGGCTCCATGAAGTGAGGTTTTATGCTGGAGATGAGTGTCAGGTCGGCTATGCAACCCAACCTGTCAACCCTGCCTGCCCAGTGCCTCTTCAGGAGGAAGGAGGTGCCCAGAACACCAACTCCGTGACCCGGCCCTGAACCCCAGGAGCCAGACCCCTTACTCTGCACACTTCAGGATTCTGGTAGCAAGATATCCCTCTCCAACACGAGCTGACTGAAAGGCCCCACTATTGGCTACCCCCTCACATGACTGTATGACCCACTTAAGCTGGCAAAATCTACTCTATCCAGAGGCCTTCCATTTCATTCATTCATTCATTCATTTATTTATTCATTTGATACCTGTTGAGCACCTGCTTTTTATCTGACATCCATGACCTAAGGTGGTTGGGGTTTATAAGGTGGTTGGGGTTTATCAGGTGGTTGGGGTTTACAAGGTAATAAACATTGACATTGAAGGACCAAGGCCAGGTTGCTAGTTCAACTAAGAAAGGGGGACCTCGACTGAGCCCCTGCGCCCCCCACCCACGCTCCTGGACCAGCACACCCATCTGCGGATTGGATCAGGGCATAGGATCCCCCCCCCCATCCCCCAAGTCTGGAGGTGCACCTTCTGGGTGTGACAAGAGCACTTCTGGGAAGGCGGCATAGTGACGGGCAGGATGGCTGTCCAGTTCCTGCCCTGGGTGCGCCCGCCGGGCTCCGGGACGTGAGGCTGCGGCGGAAGTGTCCCTGGGAGGAAGTTATTTGGGGCACGAGACTGACATCAGACCTAGCTGGACTCGAGGCACAGGAGGCCACTCCCTCTACACCACAGACTGGATGCAGGACCAGATTCTGGACGTCTCACAGCAGATCCCGCCAGGCCAGGCCAGGCGCAGGACAGCGTGGGGCGGAGGGGGAACACGAGCACCGCCTCAATTTCCCCGCTGGTGAGGAGGGCGTGCAGCGACTCACCCTGTTGGTGTGAGCCAGTGGCGGTCCGAGGATCAAAAGGGTAGCGCAGGGTCACACAGTGCTGTGGTCTCGGTCTGCTGGGCTTGCTGTGCAGTGCTGCCCTCTGCCCTCTGGTGGCTGTCGCCGTTCCTGCGCGGTCCCTTCCGCTGTGCCTGTCCCTACGCCACAAGTGTCTGCTTTTCCAGAGACCCTGTTCCCTGGAGGTGGCGGTCCACATCCAGGACTTCCCCAGAGACTGCCACCTTCTCTACAACTCCTATATAGCCATGTCCCCGCAGTCCCCGGGTGGGTGCTCAGGCATGGGGCTCCTCCCATACTAAAAGACCAAGCTGTGAGAAGAGAGGACTATGGACTCATACATCCTTTTGTTTGCTTGTCCATTCGTTCATTCATTCCTTGATTGTTTGTTTTAATTTGTTTTGTTTTTGAGACACGCTAGGCTGGAACTCACTGGGTAGATCAGGTTAGCCTAGAACTCATGAAGATCCACCTGCTTCTGCCTCCCTAGTGCTAGGATTAAAGTCATGTGTCACCATGTATTTGTTCGTTCTTTCCAGCATTCGCTCCTGAAAGTGTTGGATGAGAGGCACACAGGTGCCAAAGAGTTTGAGGAACAGGGTGCTAAGGAGAATAAAGGGCTCACCCTGCGTCATGGACAAGTCAGGAAGACCCTAAAGTCTGAGGGAAAAGTTCTAATCCTAAATTGTGTTAAGTGTTTCAAAGCATCAGACAGGTAGCCAGCCGTCAATCCACCCTCCCTCGGAGGCAGTCTCTGACCTTTTAAAGCTAAGGGCTTCCCCTTGGAGCGCTTCTAGTTTCTCTTCTCCCTCTTCTCTCCTCTAAACGCAATTGCTTTCCACACAACTCTGCCGTGAAGTGAAGTGAGCAACAGAAGTGAGCGTGAGCCAGTCCCCGGCTACCCCTGGGCAGCCTTGGACCAGAGGCTAAGAGCACATCGCCGGTGACCATGGCAACAGCAAAACGCCGGATGTCTTCTACACACTTCCCCATACAGAGGAAGTGAAGGAGTCCAATCAAGTCTCTCCTAATATTAAGAGCTCTTTGGGGGCATTTTGACTTTTTTTTAAATCATTGCATTTATTAATTTAGTGTGTGTTCAAGAAGGGTATGTGTTCACGTGTCGGGGGTGGGGGAGGAGGCAGCCGCAGGACAACTTGCAGCGGTCAGCTTGCTCCTTCCACTATATGGATTCCAGGGACAGAACTCAGGCCACAGGCTTGGCAGAAAACCCCCTTTCCTGCTGAGCCAGCTCAGTGGTCCTCCAGGGCATGTTCTGAGGTCAGAAGTCATGGTAACTATGGTAGAAAAGAGCTATGGCCCACAAGGTTTTTTTGTTTTTTTTTTTAACTCAAACATTGGTTACAAATAGAAAGGTAAATAATAAGAAAAATCAGAGTAGGAAATATGGATAATGACACCATTGTTACTCAAAGCGCTCGAAGAAATGAGTCAGAACACAAAGCAAAACAAAGCCCACTGATTATGAAAGGTCAAACAGGTAAAGGGCATAGACAATGTGACGGGGAGGAAACTAATTTGGCTAACACATGTGCTGGGAAATGTTCACCTTCGTAATTAAGATAATGCAAATCAAAGCTGTAGCAAAGGGATCTTGGCTGTCACCTACAGGCCAGCAAAGCCTGGAAGAAGGCTACTAGGCAAGGCTACAGGGAAGTGGGTCAGAGGTGAGCATGGCCCTACCTTGGGGAACTGCTATTTATATTGAGAAAGCATTATGTTATAGTGTCCAAACCAGCCTGGAACTCACTATGTATCCCAGGCTATGAAAACCTATTTTGACAAAAGATAGTACATTTGCAAAACTAAACCTGCCTATAATTCTAGCAATCAGGAGGCTGAAGCAGGAGAATCAGAAAAACCAAGATTTTGGGGGTGGGGCTACGTAGTGAGAGCTTCCCTGATTCAGACAAAACAAAAGAATTGTTTTGTTTTAAATAAACCTCTGGGGTATTGGAGAGGTGGCTCAGCAGTTAAGAGCACTAGCTGCTCTTCCAGAGGTCCTAAATTCAATTCCCAGCAACTACATGGTAGCTCACAACCATCTACACTGGATCTGATGTCTTCTTCTGGAATAGAGTCGATAGAGCACTTATATACATAAAATAAATCTTAAAAAATAAGTACACTCTCTGAATTAGATTTATAAAAATGCTATTTCTATGAACAGTGAATAAACACAAATACTCGTGATACGAGGGGAGTGAGAAGCAAACAGCTGGGAACGCGGCTGGTTGGTGGAGTCTTTGAGGAGCATGCATAAAGCCCTGGGGTAGATCAGGTGTGACCGTGCAAGCCTGGAATCCCAGCACTGGGGAGACAGAAGCAGGAGGATGGGACATTCAAGGTAACTCTACTTTACACACGGAGCTGAAGGCCAGCCGTGGGTACCTGAAACCCTATCTCCAAAACAAAACAAAACTTGGTGTGGAAGAGCACATCTTCAATCCCAGCACTTGCAAGGCAGAGGTTGGTGGATCTCTGTGAGTTCGAGGCCTTCCTGGACTACAGAGCAAGTTTCAGGACAGCCAGGGCTACATAGAGAGACTAGAGAGACCCTACCTTTGACAAAAAGGAGAGAAAGAAAGAAAAAAGAAAGGCTGGAGAGATAGCTCAGTGGTTAAGAGCATTGCCTGCTCTTCCAGAGGTCCTGAGTTCAATTCCCAGCAACCACATGGTGGCTCACAACCATCTGTAATGAGGTCTGGCGCCCTCTTCTGGCCTGCAGGCATATACACAGACAGAATATTGTGTACATAATAAATAAATAAATCTTAAAAAAAAAAAGAAAGAGCAACAAGCACTCTTCAGTGCCGAGCCATTTCTCCAGTCCTTTCCTTACTTCTTTCCTTCCTTCATCCACTCTCCCTTTCTTACCTATTTTCCACTTCCATTTCCTCCTTCTCCTCTTTTCCCCCTCTCTTTCTCTGACTTTGAAACAATTTTTTTTTTTCAAGACAGGGTTTCTCTGTGTAGCCCTGGCTGTCCTGAAACTCTCTCTGTAGAATCAGGCTGGCCTTAAACTCACAGAGACTCACCTGTCTCAGTCTTCTGGGTGCTGGAATTAAAGGTGTGCATCACACAACTAACAATATTTTACTATGTAGTCCTGACTTGGTACTCATTATATAGCCCAGACTAGCCTCAAATTCATGGCCCCCACCTCAACTTCTCGAGTGCCAGGGTTACAGACATGCATCACCACACATGACCAAGAAAATGTAATTTTATAACAGTGGTAGCAGAAGCACCCGAAAAGAAAGGCTGCACAGTGTCTGGCCTTGCCTAGCAGTTCTGAAGTCATGTGACTCCCTTTCAAGTGACAGGAATCCAGCCAAGATTGGGGATATGATGGGTGGTCATGGTGGGGAATCCTGGGACTTCTTGTGGTACTCCAGCTACAGGACACAGTGACACTGGCTGCCTATCCTCCCTCCAGGGTTACCGCCTATCTCTGGAGTCCCTGCAAGCTCAGGACTCTGAGATGATTGCCCCACCCCACGTTGGGAATATGCTGCTGCCTGGACTTTCCTAAGGGATCCCAGTTTAGAGGAGCACTCTTCCACCCTATTGGTGCAGACAAGTCCAAGGCAGGAATCCCTGATTGGCCCACAGGGCAGGAGTTCTTAATGGAACGGAGAGGAGGGTGCTGGGAAATGAGAAGCAATGACACCTCTCTCTCAGGCACGTATGAGACTGTTTCATGCATGAAGCTCCTCACACATTTACCCCACCCTCTACATGCTATTCTTGAAAGCCATTGAACTTGGAACTACTGAGGAAAGGCAGTCTCCAACCAAAGGAACGAGACAGGTAAGCAGAAGAGGCAGGCTATAGAAAGCAGCCTAACCAGAGGTGCAGAAGTTTCCCACCCTGATGACAAAGGGGAATTCCAGAGGAGCAAATCCTGGACTCTGGAGGGCCATGGTCCCAGCCGGGACACTGATTTAGGAGTTCCTGGCCTGCAAGGCTGGCGTCATGACGCACTGGGCCTCTGCACTGTCGTTTTAACCTGAGGATACTATAAAAGCTGTGTTCCAGCCCAGCAAGCTTCAGCTGGGGTTCAACTGAGGAAGACCTGAGATGCAAGGCAAGGAATCCAAACCACTGGGGACGGTAAAGGGTTCCCTGAGAGAGCAGTACCTAGAGGTGCTGTGGGACAATGGCCTGTACCCTGTCACTTGTATTTTAAATAAATGCTGATCGACCAGTAGCCAGGCAGGAAGTATAGGTGAAGCAACGAGAATTCTGGGAAGAGGGAAGTTTCAGTTTGCAGTCGTGACCCAGACAGAGAGGAAGCCAGACACAGATGTGACTACCTCACTGAAAAAGATACCAAGCCATGTGGCTAACACAGACAAGAATTATGGGTTAATATAAGTTATAAGAGTTAATAAGAAGCCTGAGATACTAGACCAATCAGTTAATAATTAATGTAGACCTCTGTGTGATTTCTTTGTGACTGAATGGTTGCCTGACCAGGCAGG